AAAAAAGTACTCCAGAGTGTTGTTCAGCATGGGGGTGAGTAGAAAATGAAGGCTAATCATGTTTTGGGTGTACTATTCCTTTAAGTGTTTCTCATTGGTCAGAGGTCAGCTGTGTCCCGATGTGCTCACCTGGGCGCTGACATATTTGGCAAACCATTCCCGGCCTTTTCCGTTCTCTCCACTGCACAGCTCTCCAAACATGGCCTTCTCCTCCTGGTCAAAGTCCTCCCTACAAAAACAGAATCCAAAAAAACTCAGCTCAGCTGCTTTCTGTCACATCGCAGGGAAACTTTTGCTTTTTTTTTTTTTTTTCTATGAGTCTTAATGTTCCTGATTATTCTAGAAGACGACATCAGGCCAAGGAATGAGCCTGAAGCAGAAGACGTTCAGCACAGTCTGCTTATTTTTTATTCATCTATATAATGTGTAATGACAAAAGCTGCTCATGAGAATGATCCAGTTTTATAGATGTGTTTTAATGATTCTAATTTTATCTGAATATAAAAATCTAACCTAAGTTTTTTAATAGTGACACAGATTTTAATCCAGGTTGCTGAAGGCGACCCAAATGCACTCCAAATATCTAGAATATAGTAGAAACAACTGGAGGCTATTTAATTTTATAGTTATCAGTATGTAAAAAAATATGTTTTTTAATTTGCATATATATGAAAAAAGTTTCCTTTGAATTTTTTGGAATGGAAAAAAAAGGGAAATTCCCACAGACTATTGATGCAAAGTGGCCTCTCCCTGAACACTATGTTATGTTGCTCACAAGAGAAGAAGACAGAGAAGACTGAATGACCAGATGCCACTAATAAACGCTACTGATTGATTAATGTCATCTATCTTAGGAGATGGAAGAGGCGCATTCCTGGATTTCACACTTGATTTTTGTTTAAATATGGTAAAATAGATGAAAACATCACTGTCCCCATTTAGTATTTTAATTTTTATAAAATGTATTTATTCCTACCTATGAGCTGGAAATGTCCCCATTGTAGAAATCTTATTTAAGGATAATAAATTAAATTAATTTTAACTGATCAGAATTAGTGTGTAAATATCTAACATGCTACATTAGAGCTGGGCGATACGGCTGAAAACTCTACCAACATTTACCCCTAGAGTTCATACTGATTTATACTTTTTGAAATAAGGATCATTTAGCTTCTGAGAGCTAGAGAAGCTAAATGTTCCTCTACCGACATCTTCCCCCAGAATACCAGAAGGTCCTCGGAGTTCAGAATGACTGAAAAACTTTATTATTATATGTTGATATTCATCAGGTGTCTATTGCAATATACAGTTAAAAGCCAGTAAATTAGAATATTTTGAAAAACTTGATTTATTTCAGTAATTGCATTCAAAAGGTGTAACTTGTACATTATATTTATTCATTGCACACAGACTGATGCATTCAAATATTTATTTCATTTAATTTTGATGATTTGAAGTGGCAACAAATGAAAATCCAAAATTCCGTTTGTCACAAAATTAGAATATTGTGTAAGGGTTAAATTTTGAA